GTACAACTTACTTTTGAAAAATGTGGGAGCATGGAACTGTCCCAGCAGACTGGAGCCGCTCGACTATAGTCACAATTTTCAAGGAAGGCTCACGTTCTGAACGCGGCAACCATAGAGGGCTCAGTCTGCTCTCAGTTGCTTCTAAGATACTCGCCTCTGTCGTTTTTCATAGACTTACTGGCACACGTGAAAGCCAGGCTCTCGAGGTGCAGGCTGGGTTTCCTCAAATTCTCTACTGTATTGATCACATCTTCACACTACGTCAATTGTTGGAGCATCGCTATATGTATCAGCGGGCCATTGTAGTCGTATTCTTCGACATCAAAGGTGCTTTCGATTCGTTTGATCGATGTGCCCTTGGGGACTGTCTACTGCGGAAGTGTGTACCCAAGGAATGTGTAAATGTCATAAGATTACTGTAGTTGCATATTTCGTTCAGAGTGAGAGCTTACGGCCAGCTGTCACTGCCCTTCAATATCTCTGGTGTGAGACAAGAATGCCAACTGTCACCTTTCCTTTTCACCTTCCCCATCGACGAGATCATCGAAACTACCTTCACTGGACACGACCGACAAAGCCTAGACCTGTCCTTTGGTGAACGACTTCTTGACTTGGAGTACGCGGACGACATTGCTCTTTTTTGGACAGCTTTAAAAGGTGTCAAGTGGCACTGGACAACTTATCACTGGCTGTCAGTCGTTTTGGGCTATGCTTTTCACTCTTAAAATGCAAACTCCTCCAAGATGCTGTTGTAGGAGACTATGCTATTCAACTTGCTGGTTATTTTCCCATCAGATTCAACCGCCCCGGAATACCTCAAAATCGTGGAGAGGGTGTCATCACCTATTAACACTGGTGTAACTCGTCATCTACATTTTTATCTACTCAGCTGTCGCAATCAGCTGCCATTTGCTTGAATGTAAGCCAAAGTGTTTGAGTGGTTTTCTTTCTGTTATTATGGGGAATGTGTACGTATCCCCCAACACACAAGCATCAGAGTTGAAAACTTTTGCGGATAGTCTATCCTCGGCGTTATTACCTCAACTTGACTGCTCAATCTGTGTCCTCCCCGGGGACTTCAATAAGATTGATACCTTCATCCAGGGAATTGATTTGAACTTTCCGACCAGATTCGAAGCACAGCTAGATATCGTCTTCACTACTCATACATGAATGTTTTCCACACAGAAACCTGCCCCACTTAGTAATTCCGATCATTGTATCATAAAAGTGTGCCCCGTCGTTTATGGTAAGACTCACTCCGGTTCATTCGCTAATAAGTTCATCAAACTGTGAAGCGACTAAATTGTTCCTCCTCAAATGCTTCTAGTCTCCAGGAGATGCTGACTTCTACCGATTTTACAGTTTTCAACAACGAAGCTCTGTCTGTTCAGTGTGATCCTTTCAGATTATCTTGACTTTTGCTTCGATCTTTGCTGCCTCGTCGAATCCATATACTTACTAGTCGATAGATTCTCTTCACCATTACTCACAACTTAGAAGCAAAAAAGAACGTGGCTACACATGAAATATGACTGCCTGTGTTCAACAACTCACTCTAGCACTCAAAACAGATTTCACGATTGAATAATTTATATATCGAAGCCGGTTTGTGCAGTCACAACTGCCGAGACTTATGGAGACTTTCGGAGCAGCTATGTGGTTGAAGCTCCACTAAACAGACCGGATCTGTGAATGTAGAGAAAGTCTTCTGATTTCTGTTCTTCTTTACAGGTAGCATCCACCACCCCTTCGTTCTCCCTGCCTTTGTTCTCCGTCTCTGGTTCAAAAATTACACTCTAACACCTTGAAGTCAACTGTGTGCTCAGGAATCTGAACTCAAGGAAGGCTAAGGGACCCGATGCTATTTCACCAGTTGTCTTGAAATAGTGTGCTAACACCCTCACCATGCTTTTGCCGGATCTTTTTAATCGGTACATACACATTGGAATTATTCCCGATATTTGCAGACCTTTCAGGATAATGTCAATGCCAAATAAGGGATCCACGAAATTCCGTCCGATCGCCTGTACATCCGTCGTGCTGAAAGTTTTCGAGCGACTACTTGTGTCTTGGATCTCAACAAGCACTCCATCCGTGGACGTATCTCAGTTTGCATACAGAACTCGATGTTCCACGTTGGATGCGGTAGCATATCTTGTTCACTCTATTTTATCTCCAGTGGATGTAAAATGCAGGAATGTGCGACTCCTCTTTCTTGATTACATCAACGCTTTTGGCAGTGTCGGCAGAACAATATTGCTTAATCAGCTGTCTGCAAATGGTGTACAACCAACAATATGCAACCTGATGAGCGACTGCTTCGTTAACCGATATCATTTTACTCAGCCAAACGATAAAACTTCCCACACTCTTAGTGATGACTGGAGCGTCTTACAGGGAGCAATCCTCTCCCCTCTTCTTTTCTCTCTGTACATCGAAATGCTTCCCATTCTCCCACCTTTATTGGATGTAAGTACACTGACAACGTAGTCTTAGGTAGCATTGCTCCAACTACTGAATCATCAACTGCTCTGCAAATCGGTCTGGACGAACTTCAGCAGTAGCTGTCGTCCCGATCCCTTTCTCGCAACGCTTCCAAATGCCGCGATGTTATTTTCTCTTTTTTCCGCATCGACACGTCTGACCGTGGCAGACACTTCTCCGCCCATGGTCTTAAGCGACTACAATATACCCACTTCATCCACTCTTAACTACCTTGGTGTACATTTATCTCACAATTTACCTCGGTCAACACACGTTGATGAAACGTTCCGCAAGACGCGGAGATTATCATTTTATGACCTCAGACTCAAAATGCTTTTAGTACCCTGCACTAATTTATAAATTTCGGATTGCCTGTATTCTTCCTTATTGTTTATATTTCTCGCCCCTCTTTTTTCTTTGCTTTCTACAAGAAGACTTTACATCGCTTGTGCGTTCCATTAAGCTCATTTCCAAGTGTAGTGCATTGTCCAGAGAGTCTCTGGTTGCTTCCATCCTTACTTTCGTACATGTGAAAACTTTTCAGAAAATGTTTTGAACGACCCTTTTCACCCCACACGCTGATTTATCTAAAGCCTTCTCCTGCTTATATACTCGTTCTAAATTTAGGGTTTCATTTTCTCGTACAAGTTATCACAACTCTATCCTACCGTATTTATCCCATTTTCATGTGGACTCCAAGAAATTTATCAGCACCACGCGTGAACGCCTGCTTGAGTTATGTATATCCGTGTTTTCTTTTTACGCTTTTCTTGCAATCCCATGCTTACGTTACACCTCACAACATCCGCAGTGCTAGTGTAGAAATGCTGAAAATGTTCTCAGTCGGGTTCACAAAGCCTGTTTTGACTTGACTTGACTTGAACACACCCCTACGCTGACCATTGGTGGGGATCAGCTAGAAGTCGTCAAGAAATTTAAGTATCTTGACAGCTATGTCAACACCAATGGAACGGAAATGAGGTCAGAAATCGCATAGAAAAAGCTCGAGGGGATTTTGCCAATCTACGCCATCTGTGGCGCCGACGCGATATCACTCTCGCGCTGAAGGGCAGAGTTTACAATACAACCGTTCGTTCAGCCCTACTGTATTGTTGAGAAACCTGGCCATGAAGTCAACAGATATATAGAGGCTACTCTCGTTCACTCATCGCGGCCTTCTCAGCTTAGCTCATATCTGGTGGTAGCACCGCGTGAACAATGAGCGTGTTCGGTGTCGCGTATTTGGTGCAGAAAGAGCGAATGAACTGCTCAGCACGGTTGTATCACGCACCAGGCTCCGATGGCTGGATCAAATGTTGCACATGCTATCACACCGACTCCCGCATCGTGCGTGGTTTGCGCACCCGGGGTGTGGATGGAGGAGGAGGAGGGGAGACCAAGCGATGACTTGGTCAAGAGGAATGCAATCCCTCACTTCGAAGTTGGCGTTGGTTGGTGTGTTTCGACTGCCTGGCTGGGGTTCGAAGGACGATGAGCACGTTTGGTTGGATACACTAGTTGACATGGCAAGGGGCCGACCCCAATGGCTTTTGTGTTGGGAGTTGCTTTGTCCCTCCCCATCCCGCTTATCTTCCTCCTCCAACCTTGATCTCACTCTTTACGTATAACATATTACTAAGTAGCGTCGTCTGTTTTCGTAGAAATCTATAATTTCCAACCTCTTGCTTTTTTCGTTTGTCTTTATCTTTTGCGACACGATTGTTGGTGTTTCTCACCTGCTTATGTATACTGATGATGATGATGACAATGATGATGATGAGGTGTTTCTCAGCTTTGTCCAAAGTGTAAGACGACGCTGGTATGCTTTTCCTCTGTTGTATTTTTGATATTTTTGAAGAACACTTGGTTTCTGATCTTAGGTGAAGCGGCACCGTATTCAGCATCCCGTCTATGAATGTAACCCTACCAATCTTATCTCAGTTTTCCTGATTAACAGGCTTGGTCCCAGTTCTACACTCACCTAAATCACCACCGTTAACAGCTGACATACATCAGCTGCGGCTAATGCTGCATATCGGTCAGGGGTGGACCATTTGGCTGTTTACGTTTGCAGTTTCCTACTGTTCATCTTATATATCTGAGCATTTAGAGTCGAGTCTAACCCATGTTCGAACTCAATTTGCATTGTAATGCGCACACCTTCTCCTTTGTCATCTCACTGCTGAGTTGGAACCAAACTTATCGTAATAACTCTTGTACTTAATGCTTGCTTCAAAGATTACTTTTTCGGATTTATCTACTTTCCAGCTCCTGTTTTTACTGTATGCCTCATGCGTCGCGCTTCCAACAAAACGTAATATTTATCTGTTTTCAATCTTACCTTTATTTTTTACTAAAGTGATTGACTTCTCAACTTAATTTTGCTTTCACTTTTTGTTGCGTCTGTTGTGATAATTTCGCTCTGTTGCTGATTTCTCTGGGCGCAAACGTTTTCTGTTTCGATGTATTTGTCCTGGCAACTCAATACTTGTTCGTCCAATTTCGCCATCTAGTCAAATGCTCTCAACCGGTTTGGCCAAACTGTACAGAATAACCTACTACCTCGTACTTATGGTTATGTTAGTGGTGGTCATCCGCAATGCATACCGAAATTGACTTGGGAGGAGCTGAAGCAGTTCCATCACTCCTACTACCATCCAAGCAATGCCAAGTGAGTTGTGTATGGCGTATTTCTAGTAAGCTGCTGCACAGTCTAGTGGTTCTTTGTGTACGGATTTATTACTCTGTATAATCAGATACATCATTTGTTCTGGGAATTGTTTCTGCTTGTCCTGTACGGGGTCGATGCATTACACACACATTTATGTTTTCTTGCTTGCAGCCTATTCTCTGGATCAAACCTCTGATACACCATCAGTTCTAGCTATCACCGAACAATCGCAGTAGGTGGTGGATCGATTAACTTACCTTGGTAGCTGTCACCCCTGGTGGTCACATCACTAAGGAAGTTACTTTGCGTATCAGCAAGGCTCATGTGGCTTTGCATATGCTTAACCATCCGTGAGACGACGGAATGTCAGTCTGTTAGTGAAAGGTAGGGTGCATACTGCTGCGATAACGGTGGTGTTACTGTATGGATCAGAGACCTGGTCAATTCGTGGCAAAGACCTTAAACACTTGGCCGTCTTTGACCACTGGTGCCTTCGGAGTGTTGCTGACGTTTGACGGGAACACCAGGTGAGCAATGCTGAGATCCGCCAGTTGGCTTTTGTCAATATGCCTTCTGGTGCCTCTCTCTAGGGTTTGCTGAATCTTAACCTCTTACGTTGCCTAGGTTAAGCTTTCTATATGCTCGTTGACTGACTTCTTTGGCTTGCATTGTGCACCGTCGCTACACCATGTTGGGCAAGACCGTAAGGTAACTAGTCGATTACGTGACATAAAACATGAAGAAATCAACCGAGGGTCTTTGTCAGGCTGGCGCATGCTGTCTTCGTGGATGGGCGCACAGGGATGGTCCATGCCAATCGTTAGAGACCTTATCAGACATGTCAGTCGCGCATTCTTGTTCCTGCACTCCTTTTTCCCTCTGGCCATTACCTTTCACTTCATCCTGATTAGCTTAACGCATCCGCTTTCTTTTTCCATTTTCCATCTCACTTGCATTCAGTCTCATTTCCTTGCCGTTTGTTATTGTTTTTCTGGCAATATAAGTCATAGCAACTGGATCCACCACACTACCATGCTGAACTGAACTCAAGGTAGCCACCACCGGTGTTTACAGCTTGTTGCTCCTACCTGGTGATATCAACCGATATTCACCAGCTGGGCTTAGTTGCAACCCAATGGGTGCTACACAGCTCAGTTTTGAGATCAAATTGCCATGACCGTTTCGGGCTTTTTCTTCTCATAACTGCTGTTTGCCAATGCGGCACTTGCTCGAATGACGTTCATGGGTGGTCAGTCATGATATGGCAAGAAGGAATGAAAAAACTATCATGGATAGTCCTTCAAGATCAGACATTTTAGTCGTTGCTTGCAGTCGTACTCAATGTTGTCCTTACATGTGGTCTTATTCTGGACGCCTATCTTTCACTCCAATGACTATCTTCCTTCAACCTATTTTCACCATCCTGTTGCTTTTTGCGCCAGTGACTGAAGTCGCATCACTTGACCATTGTTTCACAAAACATGCTCTCATCGTCTGATCTCTGACTGTATGCGCCTCATTTTTCTTATCAGTGATCTATCATGGTATTATTTCATTTTGACACTAGGCTATGATTCCTTTTAACATTACCGTATATTACCGAAAACAAACCTGTACATGGATAGGCCGACAGTATGACTTTGCAATACCAAATTTATGCGGTCGTAGTTTTCTATATAGGCCGACCCCGGAAAAAATCCGTGAGAAACCTCAGCACTACCTGCTGTCCCTTGTGTGTGTTCAAGGGAACCCTGCTCTGCTATTGGTCAGTTGTGGTGACCGTCATGTGTGGGCGCTTTTTATTCGCTACCCAAAGTAACACTAACGCACCGTCACATGATCCATGATATCATCCGTTACCAGTAGGTGGTACTAAGCGGATAGGAACAGTGAATTTCTGGGTGAATTTTGCATGTGACTTTCCAACTTGCAAATAATTTTTTAAGATGGCGCCCACTACAGAAATACAAAAATGTCCAAAAATTATCGGCTTATGTTCTGTAATATAAAGGCACAAAAGATATCGGCAAAGCGCCGGTACCTCCGGATTACAAGGCAGGCTTGTGATCCTTTCGGCCTTGGACCGGGAACGCACGATAAAGAAAAATTCATTTTCATGGACGAGAGCGGGTTCAACCTCCATCTGCGGCGGACGCTCAAAAAGCAGGGCGCGCGCGAACATATTGTGCCTAGTCAGAGGTCGCATGTTAACGCTGATGGTGGCAATGAATAACCAAGGCGTTGTTCACTCAAAGACCACCAATGGTGGCACCCGCAATGACGCTGTGTTCTCAGTGTTCGCTGAGAGCTTGTGGTGCCTGTATGCTGCGGAGTGGAGATGAACTATGCGTGGCTGATCATGGATAACGCCATTTTCCACATACCGGATGAAATAAGGGAAATCCTGGGCTCCTCTTATCGGCTGAAATTGGTGTCGCCATATTCCTACATGCTAAACCCAACGAAAAACGTGTTTTAAAAGGTGAAATCATCGTCGAGACGCTTGTCGACCAGCCCGACTCATAATCAGACGCGGAATGCGGTCATCTAAGGCATCTCTGGAATGGTAACGCATCGGGACAACACGAATGGCGTCCTCATCATGATGAGAAACCTGACAAAAACAGCAGTGGGATAACTTTATCAACTGCTCTTCTCGAACGATATTATTTTTCTTTGTTAATACATCGCTTTAATATTAAACTGGACGTTTTTCATACCAAATTGCCTGGTATAACTTGCGGAAGAGCATGCGTCTTCTCATCGTTCGTCACGCATTTTTGCTGGTTTCGTGAAGCGTTCGGCTAATGAAACTAGCTAACATGAAAACTGGGTGTTGCCCGCCCGAAAACACTGCGGGAAACACCCAATTTCCATATGCTTTGGCTACGGACTTGTTGATCGCATTAACCATGGTTCACTTCAATGTGAATCGCGGTCTACATTGAGAGCACGCGTCGCGATCCCATCACAACGTGTACTTCAAATGACCCTTCATTCCGAAACTAGGTTACCTTTGGTTGAGTCATAATAAACTACATGATTCGGGAACCTGACTTTCCAATAGTCGCACAACTGCACACGTTCATGCGTATACTCACAAGCACACATACTGCGCGATAGCCTATGGAGAGGCAGGGAAGAACTGGGTCAACTCCTCTGATCGATGCGATCGAGGCTCACGATCAAGAATAGGGCTTGCATTAGCATCCGCTGCTTACACCATTTGGTTACATATGCATGAACATTGTCAAGCCACTTCATTCCTCATTCTCTGCTAATACATTGCTGGTTTTCTGCTTAGAAGATAATCCGATATTCTTATTTGGAATTATAAAGGACAATTCAGGGTTCAAAAGAATACAATGTGTCCAATTTGGTTTGTGAAACACCAAATCTAGTCTGTATATACAAAAGCCATATTCTTTTCAAATCGGCTGGTTTACTACTGTACTTCAATATTTCATGGTATTTCTTGACATTTGATTTACTCATTTTTTGAGTTAAATTTCAACCATCACTATCAGCGTGATCTAATGAACTTTGATGCTATTAAAGGGAAACGATCCCGTTTGTCGAACGACTTACATGTTTGCAGTAGAACGGTAATAATAATAGTGTGTCAGCAGTACGCCGTAACGGCGCTTCGCTGCCGCGCGACCACCACCAGTCGCCCGCGAGGACGCCAATCCCTACGCGGATTCGAACCGGTGACCTTATGGTTGCAAACCAAACGCGCAGACCACTCGGCCACCGGCCGACCAGTAGTACGGCAGCATCTGTCCGATATTAACTGACCCAAGGAGGTGCTTATTTTAAACTGTCAGCTCAGCAATTGTAAAAAAAACAGGGAACTGCATGCAGAAATCACGAATCTTGTTTTCAGCATGTTTCCCTGCAGACCGCTCACACGCATTGTTGGGTTTCGGAGTACCCGCCATGTGGTAGGACTGCAACATACAATTTCAATTGCGAGCACCTCGCCGTTTACAATCACTGGGTCCGCGTCCGAAGTGGAGTGTTTCGATGTTGCTCGCTCTCAACACTGCTGCCCTCCATGCTCAGTTTTGTACTCACATGTACTGTTCAGATAGAGATAACCGGGTTTCAATAAAAATATAAAGACAGGTACTGTTAGATCTTCACGTTTTCCTGCTATTACAAATTAAAAACCCAGAAATTTCTCTGCACAAATTCAAGCCCAGACAAAGAAAAATCAAAAGTCCAACGATCTTGACCGCGACAAACGTGTTAACAAAAACGCTACCAAACGTAACCAAAAACGCCGCCAAAACGCTGTACAACTGTGCCAGCTCTACGCCGAATATATAGGAGAGTCAATGACCTTCGGCTTCTAGAAAACGAAGGTCAACTGATAAAAGTAGCAGCCTCCCTGCCAAAACTCCGTATGCTGGCGATCATGTGAAGGAATGGGAGGTTCCGGAATCCTCGAAACCAATGCACGATTGCATATAGTCGATTAATTGCCAAAATAATGAATTTTCGTTTATGTTTTTACCTTTTCCTAGATAACTCCCCTCCTGAAACGGCTGCTTCATTGTACAGTGCTAGTCTGGGATTGACCTGAAGCTTCCTGGAAGAGATTCTACGCCTGTCGGTCCATCGCCTTGGTTGTAATGTTTTGGATTCAAGTTCCGTGCTCTGAGACCTGGTATCAATCGTTTGATGATGGGGTTCTTCTATGGGCTGTCTAGGCCAGTTTGAAGCTGCCCGTCAACAGGTCAAATGGAAGCTCGACGGATTCTGTTTCTTGTGGATGACACAGTGTTGGTCGCAGTTGGTTTGCATCGCGTACCAACACCTGCGTTCTTACCAGCACGTTGTAAATGACGTTCCCGCGTTTACCCTGGATCGTGCCTGGCGTTTATTTTGCGTGTCCTTCCCGATTATCACGTAGAAATACTGGCTGACCATGTTTAAACGAACGTCGCTTATCACCATATTGCCGATTAAAGTCACGTTTCATCTTGAGGTTCCTT